AAACTTTTTCAAACAGTCTTCACAAAAATTCTACTATTACTTGCAACAAAATCTGGAAAAAAAAAATGAAAAAATATTCTTTCTTTTGTCATTTGCATCGGAGAAATCATTTCTATATTATATTTAAATTCGAACTTCATAATTAAAAAATTCTTCATATTTATATTTTTCATCAATACATTAAATAAGATTTATTTATAAGCTAATATACTGCCGCCTGTTATTACTAGTAAATGTTAAATCGAGAAACAGTCGATTCTTTCATACGAGATTTGCAATATCCTACTCTTGGAATTATTCTCTATTTACTACTTCCTTTACTTTCAGCTTCCACAATAGCATGTACAAGAAGATATAAATGGTTAATAGTAATTTAATATTTGAATTTTTAGACGATTTTGAATCAGAATTAGTACACTGAACTCAAATTGTATCTGGAATAACCTAGTCATTTCAAGTGAGCGCAAGATTACAAGTACCATCTCTGCGAATCTCCCTCCACTATATATTTTGAAGCACATCAAGACTGCCTTGCAGGAATAATAGGGAATACCCTGAAAGCAATGGATCAAATTCTTGTGCAACATCAAAAAGCGGTGAGGAATCCAACAAATCTTCAGAAAGGAGGAATTTGAGGTGCGGCAAAATTCCTACACTCATTAGACGCAAATCTAACATCTTTTAGGAACTATTTCCCATTTTAGCATTATGATGTCAACTGGAGTAGTTGACATCATAATGCTGACATCGATCCTTCCAAGTTGCAAAAAATGAGAAACTCACAAGTTGATAACAAATTTATTTCTCAAAAATCCCACAAAAAACTACTGAAGCTATTCGTACTTCTACAAATCAAGATACCCAAGATGAATTCATTAACACTTCACTATCTCCATCATAAACACTGAGTATTTAGTAACAAAATACGACTCCTGTTCAGTTCAATATCAGAAAGAACAGACTACGACACTCACCTGCCGGAATCTGTAGTTACGGAAGAAATCTTTGTGCCTATAGGAAAGTCATCCAGGTATTGCATAAAAACTATCTTAACTAGTCTTAAGAAGTAATGGTGACAACATGAGGGTATTAGATATCCCCTAAACTTACTAGTTAATAAAGTCTATTTAGAATATTTTTGATTAACATTGTTTTTCAAATACGTACCGTATCTTTTGCAAATTCATACATCTTAAAACTCCCATATTAGAAAACACATCCGTTAACGTTCAACGAAATAAAATCAAGAAAAAAAAACACTTTAAGAAACGCAGCACCTTTAAAAGGTGCAATGACTGCGCACGAGGATAAAAAAACAACTCAAACTTTAACCGGAACATTGCATGCACCAAAATCTAGTAGCATACGATTTACCGAGGAGCGCCATCGATCGCGTACTATTAATATTGTTAATGATTGAAGCAAATTTAAAAAAAAAACGACCGTCTGCAATAGTTTATTGGATATAATTACTTTCAATAAAATTTTTAATGAACATAAATGACAGAAAAAAAAACAGCACAACAAACGATTATTATTTAATCTCTTTCCGCAATTGCATTCAAGTGATGATCAACATCATCGTTTGAAAGTTTTCTGAAAACATTTTTTACATGAAATTTTCAAATTTACACATGTCAACTCTGAGACTCATAAACTTCTTTCTCATACAGCTGAAAACTGCATAAAGGTATAAAACGCAATACCTGAATTTCTTGTTATCCTTAGTAACAACTGCGACTTCAACTTCAGGAGCTTTTAGTTCAACACCCAAAGATGATTGTAAACATTCAAGTGCCAACTAAAATATTTCCTACATATAGCTTTTGAAATTGGCAGTTCCCACTTACAAACATTATTTCATCAAACTCTGAGAAGAGAAATGAAAGACGAATTATGTACACCAATCAGTCTGATAAATCTTATCAATTCTACGAATGAAAAATTTGAATACTCTACAAAAAAATTCGAGTCCGTTAAGGAGAGCATAA